CTTCTAGGGAGACCCATTCCCATACTCTCAGGTCCAGAGACCTTTCCAGCCTACCCTTCTCCATTAGGACAAGCATACAGGGGTGGGAGACTGGCCCCACAGTTACAGGTTCATTCTATCCTATTTATTTAATTAAACATCACCTCATTCCAGAAAGGTTTTTCAGGTGAGTGGCCCAAATTCTGTGGATGCTCAAGGTCTGAGAGTGACTGAACAGGCTGCAGCCTCTCATAACTTTCAGGCTCCCTCACACCAAAGGCTCACGAGCAAAGGAAGAACTCTCAAAGCAATTCCCCTCTTAGCACTCCAAATCAGGCAAAAGGGCTAGAAAGGTTGTGGGAAGGGACGAGGAACCAGAGATGCCAGAGTATGAGAAACCATGAACCCCTGACCCCATTCCTTGATTACTGCCTTTCTATCAGGTTCATGTCTAACAGTGGTAAAGGTCAAACATCTCACACCTAGAAGCCAAGGCCTGGGCCTGAGCTTGCACACATGCATACACACAGTCCCTCAGCTTGTACGCATGCATGCACACAGTCCCACTTTCTCACACACACACACACTCATGCACACACGTACTCATGCTGGTATCTAGAGATGGAACTCAGTGGCATGGCCCCCAGCCTAACACCAGGACACCACCACCAAAGGGATGGCACTCTCCCTTGCGCTCACCTCAAGCTCAGTGACTGCTTCATTTCCACACCCCAAAATGCCAGTCCCTTCCCTCCCCATTTCTAACCCATCTGACACACTGCTGCCCCCTTCCTTCCCCATCTCTAACCCATCTGACCTGACACACTGCTGTCAAGATAATCTCCTAAAGCACAGCACTGTCTACAAATACAAACTTCTTATGCTGGTGTTCAAACTTCCCTCTCCTGGTTCCTTTCCATACACCTTGACCAGGTAATTTGGGTCACTTGCTGTTTCTAAACACCAGCAAGCTGGCTCAGAGCCCATGAGTAAGTAGGGCACCAGTCACATACACCAGGCTGGTGAGTTCAAGCCCAGGTCAAGGCCTGCTAAATAACAACAACTACAACCAAAAAATAGCCAGGTATTGTGGCAACTGCCTGTAGTCCCAGCTACTTGGGAGGCTGAGGCTAGAGAATCACTTAAGCCCAGGAGTTTGAGGTTTCTGTGAGCTGTGAAGCCAATGGCACTCTACTGAGGGTCACATAATGAGACTGCCTCAAAAAAAAAAAAAAAA